GTATTTATTTGGTGAGAATGACAGCTATAGGCACATTTCATTTCTGAGCACTGTACAAAGGGTTAAGGATCTAAGAATAATTCTAGAATAATACTTTAAGCTTAACAAAGCCTTCCAGGAACACATGCCATAATACCGAGACATGTTATGATCTTATTCTGACAGTAAGAATTCAAACCATCATAGCAAGTCAGTAAGCAGGGTAAGTATCTACTGCTCCTCAAATTTCACCACTAACTCCCCTCCCTCAACTACTAGGAAATGTGTTTATCGGGAATCCTTCTCAGCAGCACTTTCCTTTCAACATCCTTTTCAAGGAAGGATAAGAAAAGAACTGCCCCAGTATAAAATAACTATTTCATATTCATCTGTTCAATATGTGGTTACGTGGTTAAAGGAATTAGATATATACACACACACAGAGTTGATCTGTGGTCAACTGTTTGAACTATGTTAAAGTCCTATAAATAAATTTTAACTCTATAGTCAGAATGCCAAAGGATAATTATAAACACCATACACCAGTGGATCAAGTTCATAAGGAGAAAAAACATCACAGTTGGAAGGGACCACATCGGTCACTTAATCCAACACTTCAGGTCCCAGATAAGGAAACCAGTGCATAATGAGCTTCCCATTTGCCCAAGTGCACCCTGCATCCATGCAAGAACCCAGGCCACATAGTTCAGTGCTTGATAAGAGGATGACTACAAAGCCACATAAGCCCATAATAAGCAAAGAGAAAGTCAAGGTTATGAAATCAAAGACGCTGACCTGTTTAGGAAGCTGGAGCCTTGAAGCACAACCTAAGTTTAAGTAACCTTCCCAGGTCAGCTCCCCAATGCTCAGGTGTAGAGAGGAAGCGGGTGGAGAATAAGGAGGGAACACAGGGACTCTCTTAGGAGTAAATACAAGTAAAGAAAGAAAAAATAGTGAACAGAGAGGGTGATAATGAGGAGAAAAGAGAGAAGTCAAAAAGGACCAGTAAAATTTGATTCTGTTTGGCTTTGTCATGGTTTGTAAGGCTTGTTTTACATATTTATTTGTTTGTTCATTGCTCAGAAAATATTTGTTGAGAGTTACTCTTTGCCGGTCTCCATTTCTACAGAAGGCGTCCCAGGCATATGTCTAATAAGAATGGTGCAGGGAAATCTGGAGACTTCGTCTGGCCAGACAGCTAGAAACAAAAGCCAGACCCTTTCTACACACCAATACAGCACAAAAGGGGATTTTCTTTTCCACTTTAAACACAAGAACATCTGTAAAATGAAGTAGTTCAGCAGCCGAGGGTCACCATGCCTCATACCCTCCCACCATTCCAGTCTTCCGCTTTCTCCCCAGGAGAGTCTGCCCTAGGCCTTTGGGTTTGGCAGCCTCTGGAGTCCAGGACAAGCAGAAAGCCTAGGTCCAAAGGAGCTAACCATGAAGATGCTCCAGACTCTAGCCAAGGTTGTCAGTCACCTTTCTCCCTCTGTCTAGCCCCAAACCCTCAACTCACAAACATTTGCACTAAGTAGATAGACGCTAGATCGTCCTGCTGTCTCCACCACATCTAACGTGTCTGGCTCCAACTGAAATGATGAAGCAGGGTGGTCTTCTCATACCATAAAACCACCCAGCCTTTTAAGAGGGATGTGTGACTAAAACATTCTGCTTTATATAGTCATCATCACAGAACAAGCAATGCAAATACATCCCAACTTTCAAAAGAAGGAAGGAGATTGGAGTTCCTCCAAGAAGCCACCATAGAAAAAACTAATGCCCCAGACATATGTTAACAAATAACCAGCCAGTCCTAAATCTCCCACTAGACTCCTTCAAAGGTCACCTAGAGTAAAGAATTCTACAATCTGGCGTCTTATTTTTTTATTCATTTCCCTGCAAAAAAATTATTACACATTAAATTAACTTTCTTCTTGGCAAAGCTTCTTATGAGTCAGGCTTCTCCACCTCTTCTCCCTCCTGAGGGGCAAAGAGAAAATGAGTAGGACTCAGTTTTCAGAGTGAAGGTAACATTATGGATTCCCTGTAAGGATGGAGAAACAAAATAAACAAATACAACAAAAACAAAGAGATTCATAATCCTCCTCTGGCCGCCCAAAGTAGAATTCCAGAGCTCTTTAAGAATAGAATGTGCACAGTATTGCTATTTGCCCTGTTTGGTCTCATTTCCACCAAATGTGAACCTACTCTTCATTCTTCCTAAGGACTTATCTGGGCAACATTCACATTTCTTCTGTTCTGCTGTCTCCTAGTCTCTGTGATCCTCCCTGCCCTCTGAGGCTGGCTGACACCCAGTCCAGATTTCTAAGAGGGGAATGGTGGTTACCAGGACACCACTATCCAGGCCCTTGACTTACAAATCACAGCTCTCTAGGACACCCTCAAATTCTGTGCAGGTGCACCATAGCAACCTTCCTAGAAGAGGCTTTTAAAGTATCTAAAGTGAGCTCTAAAGAAGATTTGGGCTGGTAAGGCACACGACTGCTACTGATGTGGTAGGTCATAACAGAATTTTTACTTCATTTCCTCCACTATAAACATGTAGGAGCAAATTAATAGGGACCACCCTTTTATCAGAGACAGCAGGGTACAGTGGGGAAGTGCAAGGCCTCTACAGACAGTCAGTCTGGGCTCTGCTAATTCTTAGCTGCCAAGTTACTTAATCACCGTATGCCTTCATTTTCTCTTCTAGAATAGTAATAGTTCCTACCACTCGAGTTTATTGTCAGGATTAAATGAGTTAGTACACAGAATGGTTTACAAAGGTACCAGGCACAGAATGTTCACTCAGGAAATGCATCTATCACCATTGTTCTTGGGAGGTTCTTCTTACAAAAAAAAAAAAAAAAAAAAAAGGAAATACGAATGATGGTACTGTAAGTGAGATTCAGGAATAGAGGCAAAGGAATTGTGTGGAAAATGCAGGACAAAAGGTATTTTGGAGGAAAAGGGTAAAAAAGAGGGAGAGTCTGTCTTCACTGATCCCTGCTAGAGATTGGCTGCCTGGGACTGGCTGGTGAGGACCCCAGAGGAGGCCCCCCAAGGGCTTCTGGGCACAGCCTCCATTCCAGTCCACCACTTCCTAAATGACTCCTCCCAAGGGGGCAGGCAAGGTGGGGGAGACAGCACGTGGGCTTTTGTTTTCTTCTTCTGGGTTTGATGGTCCCTCCTCTACTAAGAGGAGAAACTATGAATTGGGCATTTTGCCTTCTGAATCACCTTGGAAACTTAAATTCCTTTACCCTTCCAGGAAAGAGTAAACAAAAATATTCATTGAGCTGACATTCTCTTTGCTTTCTGTTTTCTTTCTTGAATGGCTGGTGCTTTTTAAAGAAAAGCATCTCTTGACCAATTAAAAGGAACTTTACGAGCTGAAGAAAACCTTTCCTGGGCCCTGTGGCTCTTCCTTCTCCCCCAACCCTCTGTGTGTCACTCTGCCTGCCCTGGCTCCCGCCGGTGGACATCATCTTACTGTCCTCATCTGTTCTTGGGGACACTGCCCCATCTCCTCTTTCTGGGCCCCACTGAAGCTCTTGCTCTGGGTCAGGCAAGCAGGATGCTTGCTCCTGGGGTGTGTTAGAACTGAGACAATCACTTCGGGGTCATTTCCCCAAGGGAGCATCTAATATTTCGGGGTACAGGATGAGGGGAATAAAATGTCTATACTCAGAAAAAACTTTTTTTAAAAAAGATATCTCAGAGCCCTTCAAAATATGTCTAACTAGCATGAAGTGAAAGAATCTTAGAAAAGCTGACAGAGGAGGCACGAAGCTTGAGTGTGTTGGGTGCAGCCGGCTTCTGACGGCAGGCATGGCAGAGCACTGCAGCCATGGCTCAAAGTTACTTACAAGTCGTTGTTAGACCGACGGAAGGAGGAGAGAGGAAGCGAATGTAAGAGGGAAGATGAGAGGAGCAGAATGAAAGGGTTTGTAGGCAGGGATCACTTTCTGAGTATGTGACCAGGGTGGCCATAGAGGGCCTGGTGCTCAGAAGGAAACCAACCCTGTGCTTAACGCATAATGGTCTGCGGTCCCCATGTGGAAATTACCACTTCATCTTTTAATTCGTTTTCTAAAGGAAATGAGATAGGACAGTGGAGCCTCCCAGCCTCCCTGGGACAGATGGTGTTCGTCAGCCCCACCCAGCAACTGTGGCTGCCCCCTGCCTCCTCAGGGGTCACTGACTCTGGGAGGATGGGGGTCAGAGTGTGCTGAGTTGCAGGACCAGCCTGGGGCACCTACAAAGGTCCACATTTGTGGTGAGAAGCTCTAGCTCAAGGAAGTGTGACATTAAATAGCAAATAAAAGTCACCATGATATGTCAAGAGAGACAGGGAGGAAGAAAGGAATACACTTTGTTTCTGCAGCACTGGTCTCCAGGCAGCGCTCACCATAGTCGTTTCTGTAACGGTGAAATTAACTCCACCAGTTTCTCAGCATGGACCTCTATGGCAAACGGGGGAACCAAATGAGACCAAATGAGCAAGTTATTGTCTATCAGGTGTCCTCAAACTATAGCCTGCGGGCCACATGCAGCCCGCCTAGGACATTTATCCAGCCCGCCGGGTGTTTTTACTGCCGCTGCCTGTCCTGCTTAGCAGCCGACTCGCCCCAGGGCCCACAGTCCTGCCCTCCAACGGTCTGAGGGACAGTGAACTGGCCCCCTGTTTAAAAAGTTTGAGGACCCCTGGCTAGATGACCCATCCATCGTGCTAGCTCTGATATCATTCTGATTTAATCTATGTCCATCTTTAGTTCACTAATTATGAAAGACAATTTCCCCCTTGTAAGAGACAAAAGTCTCTGCAGTGACTTGAGACCAGTGGAAATTTGGTGAAGGGTTTATATAGAATGTTTTGTTTCTCTTTTTATCCTTTTCCTTTGCTTTTTTCCTCTTTTTCCTTTGCATATTTTTACTTTTCCCTTTACTCTCAACATGCACAGATAGAGACGTGCACCGGACTGCACATAATGGGCTTCCTCTGGCTCTTTTTCCAGAGTGGAAATAGAATTCTGTGCTCCATCATCCTGAGCCATCACCAGGGGCCATCCATAATCAACTACGATGACGAGAGTGGGAAGACATGTGTGCACGTGGCCGCAGCCGCGGGTTTCAGCGACATTATTAACGAACTGGCAAGAGTCCCTGAGTGTAACCTACAGGCCTTGGATGTGGATGACAGGTATCCCGGGCAATTCCAGAAAGTGCTGGGAACAACCAGTCATTTTCCCCAACTGTTAATCTTAAAATAAAGATGTTTAAGGTGATAGTCTACACAATTATATCCCTATTGCCAGTAATACAACTATATCCTTATTGCCAGTAATACACATGCGCTTCTGACAATAAAAATCATCTATTTTAGTGAAGGGAGGAAAAATCATTGTTATGGAGAGGAACGCTGTGACTGTACAGTATTGTCAGATTTTCCACTTTTTGCTACATGTTTTGGTGTTCTCAGAAGGCTTTCTGTACTTTGGCTTCCTGCTATAGGCTCTGTTTGTTGTTAAAGGTGGGTTTTAATTTTTTTTCTTCATTCCTGGATGATATGGTATAGCTTCTAAGTTCTTGTTGTCCAGAGAACAGTATAATAGAGGCAGTGTATTCAGAACTTCTGGCCTCTTAGAAGTCATAGGGACTCTATCAGGACTTTTCGTTTTCCAGTCACTGAAATTGTATTGGCCTGAAAAGGCAACTGAGCCTATAAGGTAAAAAGACTTGTCTCCCAGGTAATTAGTTACTAAAAGAAGACTTGTATACCTGCCTTCCAAATTTAGAGCCTTTCACCTAATGGCCTGCTTATCTAAACTTCATTTTGGTTAGGCTCTGAGTCAATGGAAAAGTAAGAAAAATATAACAACAAACAAGACTATTGAAATGAGTGTCAGCCTTGGGCACTCGGCTTGTGTTTTTACCCTCTTTTACTGAAGTGCAAAATTAGCCACCCACTTAACCCAAGATTTTAGATGCCCCAAGAAAGCACCTTCTGCTCCCTAATACCCGAAATTCTTTTAACACAGGGAAAAAGACTTGGGGGCTCTACATAGGTTTCAGAAGTTAGAGGTGGTTAACATGACTACTTTAATTAAAATTCAAGTATAAATCATCTGAAGGAGATATTAAAAGAGCAAGTATTGATCCTGAGCAGGACCGAATTAGAAGAACTTGGTGTACGGGAGGAGAAATGATTCATAAATGATTCATAAAGAGAAAAAAGGAACACATTTTAGAAATGAGGGCTGGAGGAAAGTTCACCTTCTTCAAAATACTCCCAGGACCAGCTTTAAATAGGATATTCCCCATGTGGCAGCACCACACACCTAGCAAAGAAAATTCAGTTCCCCAAGCCTCAGGGGAGACAGAAAACCCAGTTCCCCAGGCCTCAGGTGAGAAAGAAAACCCAGGTCCCCAGGCCACCCTAAACCAAGGGAGCAGAGAAAGACCAAACAATAAGGTCCCCCTGAGGGCTCCCAGGGGGTGAGGGCTCCTAGGGGTGCAGGTTCTGCCCCCATGCTCAGCTCAGGGTCTCATGAACTGGCCAAATCCCGGCCTCCATTTAGCTTCGTGTTTTCTGCAGTTAAATGAGCGACGGTACCTTTGGGTCGAAACTCAAAGCCTCTCTCAGTACCTGAATTTTTCAAAATTTCCATTGGTTTATGTGCCTCAGCATTTACAGTAATTATGACTTCCCTTACCTTCACTAGTGAGAAGTTTTTCTAGAGAAGGTTCTTGCGGGAAGGAAAGAACAATAAGGTAAAAATCTGCAATATTTAAAATATTGTAGTGCTCATGCAAATTAATGACCCAGAACACACAACATTTAAGCCACGTATGTAGCTTAAATGTCCCAAATTGCATCAGTCTGGGAGGTCACAATTCATTTTAATGTGTAAGTCATTTGTCTTTAGGGAGGATGATGTTTTATCAAGTTCTCTCTGTGTGTTTCTGGGAACTCTCTGGGGAATGTTTACGGGGTTCATAAATCATTTCTTGGCTCAGTCTTGTACACATCCCTGCCGTCCAAAGACCACGGCCTCAGCCCACCACTCATCTCTGCCAAATTCATTCTGCATCTTGGGCTCTGCTGTGATAGGCTGGACAGGTCTGCTGTGTGTGCAGGACTGTCCTGAAGCTTAGAGATAAGAAAGGAATTATAATGTAGTTGGCACGAAACTGGGACTACAGATCGGCCCCAAGGCCGGGGGTGTATTAGTTAGAGGTAATCCACATGCTGCCCTCACTTCTCAGCACAACACTTAAGCTTTCCCCCTTTGCTTCTGGACCACTTCCTCACTGATGGGCAGAGGAATTAAGACAGTCAGTCTTAGAAATTGTTGTAAAGGAGTACTTCACAAAGCCTCAGAGTAAGTCACTGCGTGTTGGTGGGCCTGACAAGATCAATAGCCAACCCTCCATCTACTAAATTTATTGGCAATACACACTCTAAGGAGGAGGGCATAACCTGCTGGGAACTCATCTCATTTCAGAGTAAATGTCCTGAGACTTCTCTCAAGCAGGATAAATCATATCTGCCACATTCAAATACATAGTGTGATAGATCACTGTTGAAAAAATATACAGCACTACTAAGAGCTATAAAATTGCTCCCTATATAATGACATGAGGAGGAGGATGTTTAATTGACAGAAGACACAGTCTACACCTGGGGACTCTGGGGACACACTGCACACAACCTGGACACGCAGATCCAAGCCCCCTCACAGACAGCCCCACCCGAGCCCTTCTCTGCCCAGCTCCCTGGCTGCCTCCAGGCCTGAGGACCACTTGGCTGTCTCAGGAGTTCCCTTCTGCCCAGGGCCCCATGCCATCCCTTCCTGTCCCAGGGCTGACCTTTCCAGAGTGACTGACGGAAGGGATAGCCGCTCTTTCCATGGGAGACCCCATTCTCAGTAATGTCATCCTGCCCTCCTACTCTCCCCAAGCCCCAGAAAAAACTCAGAACATGGTAGTGTGACATCAGTACATCATCCGATACGGCTTAGTCAGTATTGCATAAAACCATATGGAGAACCAAGTATCCATCCCTTTTCACAAGATTTTCCGGGATGACCTGATAGCCAGGGATTTTCCGTGGGCCACCTCCAAGCTCTTCTCTCGTCTCCTGATGGCAACTGCCTAAGCAATTACTACAAGTCCACAACTTCCAAAAATAATAACTCCTGGGCACAGGGCAGTACAAATACACACTTTAAAAAAGAAACTTTTTTTTGAGTAAAGATAACCTTCAGAGATGCGACTCTGTCTCCTAGCAAGTCGACTTTTTGTATGCTTCAGCAAAGCCTCAGCCTCTCAAACTTCTGTTTTAAATCTAAGTATTTGCTGTACATTAGGAACACTTCAAAACCCAGTGGGACAGGTTAGCAAAATACAGGAAGTCTTTCATCAAAGAGAAATGCAAGCCTTGACCTCGTAGAAGGTAGAAAATAGCAGCCCCATTTAAATGAATAGTCCAAAGTCTCGCTTCTACTCACAGAGTTTTTAAAAACTCAGGCTCTAATTATTTTTCTCTTTGGTATAGTAAAGAAGATAATATCGCAAAAGCATCCATTTATTCTCCCATCTCATTGCACCCTATTTGGGCTAGGCACTGTGCTAAGGTGCTGGAATAACACGGTGAGTGAAAGATTCTCCTTCCCTTCCCACATGAATTTATAATCCATATAAGCGGAACTGAAGGAACATTTACTATGTCAAATCTATCATTTTAAAACTCAGAGTTTTAAAAATTATAATGATTTTTATTATCCATAATTTAACCAAATTTTTGACTTTGAGTCATCCCGCTAAATTAGTGGGAAATTTAACCTCGTCTTTCTCAGTCCCTGCCCCTTCCCCTTATTGTGCCATAGTTCTGGAATTTTTTTATTACATAATGCCAAGAAGTGTAGGAATAGAGATAGAGGATGGCCCCCTTTCTTTCTGTCCTTGTCTCTTCTGGTCAGATGACATCTAATTGTGTCCATGCTGTGCCTTGGGCAGCCTGTGGTCACACTCCTAGACATACCCCAGACATTCCCCCTGCTAACCCCCAAAAGCTCTGCTGGGAAACAAGGTGCTGCCCTCCTTTGTTCTTGAGTCCAGGGGTCCTTTTTGCTCTTCCCACCCTCTCGTCACACCGGCCTTGCCAGCTGAGGGGGTACCCTCTTTCTACTGTCAGGAAACCATCTCTCTTCCTATGTATAGTTGAAGATTTTGCCTTTGCTCCAAATCTGCTCTCAGTCCTGGGCTTGGCTTTAGGAAGCAGAGAGACACTGATTATTTCTCTTCCCTACATTGCTATGTCCTTCCCCTGAGATTAAGCACAAAGTCACCCATCTCTTTAAGTGGGGGAAAGAGGAAGGGTAGAAAAACACACACATAGATCAGGATCTCAAAATACAAGCCTACCGCATGAGTAAAGGGTGTTGAGGGAAGTTGCCTACGTAATTAGAAAAATAGCCAGATTGGCTCCAGACTTCATTGCACATATCAAAATACATGTATAGACACATGCACAGCCTTTTATTTTTAATTGAAATCAATCTAAAACAAAATACCAGCTTTCTTCTTTTTTACATTCAGTAAATTTACTTTCTTGGTGTATAGTTCTGAGTTTTAATATACATAGATTCATGTAACCACCACAAACAGAATTTAGAGCAATTCTATCAACCCAGTACCAACTCCTGTTGTCCTCCTGAAGTCATGCCCTCTCCCAGCTCTAAGCTCTGGCAACCACACATTCGTTCTCTGTCCTTATGGTTTTACCTTTTCCAGAATGTCATGTAAGTGGAAATACATAGTCTACAACCTTTGGAGGTCAGCTTATTGCACTTTTGAGAATGCATTTGAGATTCATCTATATTGTTGCATGTATCTGCAGTCTGCTCCTTTTTATTACTGAGTAGTATAAGCAACAGCCAAGCCATTTTCCATAGTGACTTTTACCACTCGCATTCCCACTAGGAAGGCGTGACAGTTTCAGTTGCTCCATGTCTTCACCAGCACGTGGTATTGTCAAGCTTTCTTGTGCTTTGGAAGTTTCTCCCCGCTTATTTTAGCCATTTTAATAGGTGGGTAATGGTGTCCAATTGTGGTTTTAATTTGCACTTCCCTAATGACAAAGTAAATTGAGCACTTCTTCATGTGCTTATTACCATCCATGTATCATTTTTGATGAAGTGTCTATTCTGATATTTTGCTAATTTTTTAAATTGGTTGACTTACTTTCTTTCTTTCTTTCTTTCTTTCTTTCTTTCTTTTTTTTTTTTTTTTTTTTTTTTTTCTGACAGAGTCTCACTCTACTGCCCAGGCTAGAGTGCCATGGCATCAGCCTAGCTCACAACAATCTTGAACTCCTGGGCTCAAGTGATCTTCCTACTTCAGCCTCCAAAGTAGGGCTTATTTTCTTATTGCCCAGATCTGAAAGATTTTATTTTGAGATAGCGTCTCACTCTGTCACCCTTGGTAGAGTGCCATGGTCTCATAGCTCACAACAACCTCAAACTTGATTTTAAGCAATTGTCTTGCCTCAGCCTCCTGAGTAGCTGGGACTACAGGCACCTGCCACAACACCTGGCTATTTCTAAAGACGAGGGTCTCACTCTGGCTCAGGCTGGTCTTGAACTCATGAACTCAGGCAATCCTCCTCAGCCTCCCAGAGTGCTAGGATTATAAGCATGAGCCACTGCTCTCAGCTGAAAGATTTTATATACCAATTTTAAGCCCTTTGTTGGATATGTGATTTGCAAATATTTTCTCTTCATCTCTGGCTTTTCTTTAATTTTCTTAAGAGAATATTAGTTTTATAATTTAATACATTTTATAGTTTAATAATAAAAGAATTAAATTTTGTAATTTAAGGTGAATATTTTCCACTTTTTTGGCTAATGCTTCCTTCTCTAAGCATCACATTATGGAATAAAAAATGAAGAGGCAATTAAATATAATTTTTTAAAAAATTTTTAGAAAAATGACTAGAACATTAACAGCAACAAATTGAGAAAATGTTTTCATGAACATAACTTGTTAAAGATCAGTATCTTTCATATATAAAGAACCCACTGCCACTAGTAAAAAAAACACTAACACTAATAGACAAATGAACAGAGGGCATTGAGTTATTCAATGAAGAAAACTCAAATGGCAAATTAACATATATTTCAAAAGTTCAAGCCTACTATTTATTAATTTTTTATATTGGTTGATTTTCTTTTGGATTAATGTTTCTAATGAAGAAACAACAGTAAATTTTCATTTTGCCTGCCAAATTGGCAAAGATTTTAAAGATGGTGATCACACTCAATATTGGGGAAGGAGTAGGGACACAGCTAGTAGGAGGATAAATTGAATCAATCTTCCTGGAAAGCAGTTTGTCAGTTTGCAAGAAGAGCCTTAAAACTGTTCCTACCCTTTGATTCAGTACTTCCTTTTCTAGGAAATTCTCAGAAAGGCCAGAGAGCACAGAAGGGCAGAGAGCTAGAGGAGAGGCTCCCACACATACACATACCATCATCTTTCAGCCTCATGTGATAGACACTGTTTCCATACTGTACATAGCAACAAGACCTTCCCACCTCACCCCAACTCTGAATGGGAACTGTTGCTGGTCGAGCAACCTGTACCATTCTCGTGCTCAGACACTTGTACTGTTCCCGTGTGGCCCCCAGGACCCCTCTGCACTGGGCTGCAGCTGCAGGGAAGGCAGAATGCGTCCAGTCACTGCTGGAGCTGGGCATGGACAGCAACCTGAGGGACATCAATGAGAGCACGCCACTGGCCTATGCCCTGTACTGCGGCCACACGGCATGTGTCAAACTCCTCTCCCAAGAGAGCAGGTGAGTATGCCAAGAGGCACTCACTGTTTTCTTCTCGAAGGTTTATAGAATGGGATGAAAAATTTTAAATTGCTGATGTGCAAAACCAGCAGTATTATTATAATTAGAGAATATAAGAATATTAAAGATATTAAATAATTATATAACTAATTACATAATTAGTTATAATTCTATAATTAATGTGTTTGCCATTATCCAACATGGAGTGGAATGCGGGACAAAATGGTAGTAATTAAGTGTGAACCCACCAGCCTTATATTCATGAACTCGACTCTCCTCTTTCCTTTTCTCCCTTTCCTCTTCCTTTCATACTATGCCCTCCTTTGCCTTCCTTTGCCTAAATTAGCAATTCGTAAACTTTTTGTTCTCAAGACCCTTTTACACTCTGAAAAATTGTTGAGGACCCAAAGAACTTTTTGTTTATATGAGTTACACCTATCAATATTTACAAAAATTAAAATAAGTTAAAATATAGTGTAAAATAAATAATATAAAATGTATTTATGAAATCTTTAAAAAAATTTAAATAATAAAATATTCATCTAAACTAATAATAAACTCATTGTATTTGCATATTAATATAAATACTATATTTTTAAATTAAAAATAAAAATGTTTCTTTTTTTGTTGTTTTGGGTTTTTTTAATTTATTTATTTATTTTGGCCAGGGCTAGGTTTGAACTGGCCACCTCCGGCATAGGAGGCTGGCACCTTACCCCTTTGAGCCACAGGCGCTGCCCCTAAAAATGAAAATGTTTTATCTCACATTTATATTTTCTGAAACAAAAGAAAATTTTAATGAGAAGAGCAGCATTGTTCCACATTTTTAGCAAATGTCTTTGATATGTTAAGATAAGCTTAACAGAATACAGCTGGGTTCCCACCTCTGCCTTCAATCTATTGCAATCTGATGGTTTGATTGAAGTACTGGGTGACAATCAGCCTTACATAGATATGTAGCTGGAAAAGGAAAGAGTATTCCAATAGCCTTTTCAAATAATTATGGGTATTTTCTTTTTTGGATGCATCACCAAAATTTGACAAGTAGTATTTTCCTAAAGATTAGTTGCAGTGTGGACTCTGTTACCACATTAATGAACTTTCTGCACTCTGTCACATTAGAATCCATTACTATGTCTTATACTTGAAATAGGTCTTATATACATCCATGAATTTATAATGTCTTGCATTGGTCATTTGGAAAATTATTGATTCATTTAGTTATAAGGATCTTCCAAATGGCTCAGTGCCTGTAGCTCAGTGAGTAGGGCGCCAGCCACATGCACCAAGACTGACAGGTTTGAGCCCGGCCCCAGCCTGCTAAAACAACAATGACAACTGCAACCAAAAACTAGCGGGGCGTTGTGGCGGGCGCCTGTGGTCCCAGCTACTTGGGAGGCTGAGGCAAGAGAATTGCTTAAGCCCAAGAGTTTGAGGTTGCTGTGAGCTGTGATACCAGAGCCCTCTACCAAGGACAACATAATGAGATTCTGTCTCAAAAAAAAAAAGAAAAAAAAAATCTTCCAAATGATACATTTCATTCTATGAATACAATATCAAAATATCACATTTGTTAATATTACTACCAATCTCATCAGGAACACCTTTATGTATCGGGACGCTGTCAAACTTACAGTATGAATATAAGTTTCCCAAAATTCTAATTTTTGCTTGAAAGCTAGACCTTTGTCACTGGCAATGACAACTGTCAGTTGTTTCCCTTGAAATGAAGCACTCACTTAGCTCATTCTTAAAATATGTTTACTGTATGTATAAATATTAATATGTGTAAGGTGTACAGTATGAGTTTTGATCTAAAAATGCATAATGAAAAATTACTAGTCAAGCCAGTTAACAGCCCTCATTTCACATAGTTACTTTTTCATGTAGGTGGTAAGAAGACCTACAATCTCTCTTAGCAAATCTCCAGTGAACACACAGTGTTATCAGCTATGGTCCTCCTGCTCTGCTTTACTGCTCTATGTTCTTCATCCTACAGAACTGCACCTTGTACTCTTTGACCTACATTTCCTACATAGCTAGATCTTGTCTCTTAAAAAAAAAAAGAAGAAGAAGAAGAAGATAGGTGTTCCATCAAACAAAGTGTCTAGTTCAGCTGGCAACTCAAACAATCACACCTGTGCTTTATCTCAAGACAATCATCATACCTCAGCATACAATAGAATTGCTTATGAGTGCTTATTTTGCCAATGGTCAACATTTAATCAAATTAATGACTTTTTACTGACTAAGCAAGGAGATTATTACATTAAATCACTTTTTTTTTAACCATTAGTACATCAACAACTGTGAGTTATCCTGATTTGTATAGGCACCCACAATTTTACCCACCACCTCTATTGCAGCCCAGTGAAAGAGAAAAATCACATCTTGGTCTTATTATGAATACAGTTTTAACCTTATAAACCCCCTGAAAGAGTCTTAGGGACCCCTCCCCCAGGGTTTAGTGGCCCACACTTTGAAGCCCACTGGCCCAAAGCACCACCTTTAACAGGAGCGGATGGACTGTAGAATATGTGGATATGGTACTAGTTAGCACAGGGACATGCGCTACCAAAGGAGACTTGAAAGAAGGTCAGACAGCTCTGGGATTCTCTCTGGTAGTATTAGGAGTCCACAAACTGAGTTCAGTATTTCAAAATGCCTTCGAAGGTGAAAGAAGGAAGATAACAATCCATCACGGAAATGAAGATTCAGTAGAGGAAACATTCATCATGCGCATCCAGAATCACCAGCCATGCTTTTCACATCACTGCATCTCACTCCACAGAGTGATGTTGTTGCAGTGTGATTCTCAGGAACATGCACACAGGTCAGGTTTCATCATTAAATCACACCACAGAAAGCATTAAATCAACTGAGGCCTCAAAAGAGAATCACACAGAATTTTCCAAGAAACAAAACGAGAATCGTGCCTGGGGTAAGCTCTCGACATGAGCGGAGCCAGCGGGCCCAGGGCAGACCCTTTCCTGAGAACTTGCCTGCATGTTGGGCAGTATCCACCTTCCTGCTGTCATCCTTGGCCTCTGGCTCACACTCTTCCACTTCTGTAGCTAGAGCCCAGACTAACACTTCTTTCCTTGGTTTTCTTTGGTACACTTTTTAAAAAAGTATTTTTCAACAGGACATTTAGTTTTAAAAACATTAAAGAGAAACAACACACAAACAGCATAAAAATAAAAAGGCCAGGTACCTGACTCCACACTCAGGGATCTGGTTCAGGGAAGCCTAAACCCCCTCCCTCCCCACCTGTCCAGCCCCCACTGTCCTTCTGCTAGTTGAAGCCTGAACGCAAACCCTTGGCCTTCATCTCTGACTTAAAGCACTCCTTAGGAAGTGAAATTAGAACAGTAACATTTTAAGCTCTTTGCAGCTTAATTAACCCCCTGTTGAAAACAGAGGATCTAGGTGTAAATTTTGAAAAGATAGCCCAAGAGGGAACAAGGAGAATCTGGGAACTGTCCTCATTGTGCGAAGGACTGATTTTGAAAGGGGATCGTGACGGGTGTGATGAGTTCTTGCACATCACTTTGGACTTGAGAAGCCTTTGGGGGTGTCTAGGGAAGATCTCAGAATGGGCGGGGCAGTATTTTGGTGAGTGATGCTGTCTCCACCTCCTGTTCTCACCCATCACCCTTGTCCTTTTATGTTCCCATAGAGCAGAGCCTACGCGACCTCTTCCCTCCCAGGACAGTAGACCCCAGAAGAAGGAGGGACGGTTCAGTGTTCTCAACCAAATCTTTTGCAAAAACAAGAAAGAAGAGCAAAGAGCCCACCAAAAGGATCACAGCCGGGACCAACACAGTGGGGACAACACCTCGGAAGTTGATGACATCATCACCACCTTTGACAGCATTGTGGGTACCAACTGCCAAGAACAGCCTGGTGATCAGGTGGCTATGGTTGAATTTAAGAAGAGGACCTCAGAGAATTCAAAATATCTCTTGCCAGAAAAGAAACCTCTGGCCCGTAAGGGACTTCCACCAATCAGAACGCAGAGTCTCCCACCCATCACCCTGGGCAATAACTTCCTGACAGCCCCCCACGGGGCCGCCTCCCACGCAGGCCTGAGCTCTGGTCCTCACCACACCACCCAACAATCTCAGAAAAGCCGGAGTGAGCAGGATTTACTCAATAACAGAACCGGCTGCCAAATGTTGCTAGACAACCCCTGGAAAAACGATTCTAATCCGGTGTTCTCCTACAAAGCATGGACTGTGTCTTCTTCTGATAAACTGCTAGACAGATTGCTCACTGGCCGGCCCGGTCGCCAGGATGTCTCAGTGCCACAGCTTCCTCATCTGCACAGTCCATCATCAGGTAATGTCCTTGATTTCTTCTTCTTCATTCCTGGCAGGCTTTCTACAGGAAGTGTCTCATACACCTGTAGGTGAGGAACTGGAGTGATGAGAGCCCAGAGGGCAGGGCGAGAATAAAACATGTCCCTAGAGACACCTTTTCTTCCTGGAGTGCCACTAGATTTGCGATTTCCAGGCTTGGGCAATGTTCTGTTTTTAGTACCCTGCCAGCACTCGTTGAGTAAAGGCGTGGTTGCCATCTCTTATCTTCCCAGCAATTGTGTATGTATGCAGCCGGCCAGCTTAGGACAGGAAGGTTGTTGCCATTTCCACTCGAAGGGATTCTTAACCAGGGGTGTGTGCAAAACCACCTATAAGGAGTTGTTTTGTGTCATTGTTGGAGGGGTTGGTTTTTAGTTTTTGATCTTTGGGGGGATTTTTTTGGAGGTGGTGTTGGTTTTTTTGTTGCTTTGTTTTGGTTTCTGGTTTTTTGTTTTGTTTTGTTTTGTTTTGAGACAGGGTCTTGCTCTGTCACCCTGGCTGGAGTACAGTGGCATCATCACAGCTTTCTCAGCCTAAGACTTCTATGTTCAAATGATCCTCCTGCCTCAGCCTCCTGAGTAGCTGGGACAACAGGCACACCCAACCATCTCTGTCTAATTTTTTTTTTGTAGAGATAGGGGTCTCACTGTGTTACCTAGGTTGGTCTCAAACTCCTGACCTCAAGTGATCTTCCAGCTTCAGCCTCCCAAAGCACTGGGGTAATAGGCAGGAGTCACCATACCCAACCTAATTATGTATTTTTATTTTTATTTTATTTATTTATTGAGACAGAGTCTCATGTTGTCACCCTCAGTAGAGTGTCGTGGTGTCATAGCTCACAGCAACCTCAAACTCTTGGGCTCAAGCGATTCTCTTGCCTCAGCCTCCCAAGTAGCTGGGATTACAGGCACCCACCACAATGCCTAGTTAGTTTTAGAGACAGAGTCTTGCTCTGGCTCAGGCTGGTCTGGAACCTGTGAACTCAGACAATCCATGAGCCTTGGCCTCCCAGAGCGCTAGGATAACAGGCCTCAGCCACCGCACCCAGCCCACATTTATGCTTTAAATCTCATTACATACCAAAAGGTTAAATGGCAATCCTCCCTCCTGCCTCTTCCCTAGCTATGCAGCACACCTCATAGAGAAAGATGCCATGTCATTAGTTTTCTGTTCATCCTTCCAGATATATTTTATACACATATATCTCTATATTTATATACTAAAATTACATAAATATTCTCCTTTTAAATAAATGCTTCACACTAAAGAGTTTATATTTTCATATACAAACAAATGCATGTGTATATAAGTTCCCACCCTTATAAATAAATGTATTTATAAAACCATTTAGAAACCATTTTTATTTTTAAAAGTGATCCACAGGACTGGGTCAAGTGCAATGATGTTTACAATTAATTGATCACAGATTTTTTTTGTCCCTTCTCCTCTTCCACTGATTCACTTGAACTGACTAGCCTAAAAAAAGAAGATGAAAAGAATCCACAGTTAATTTAGGTGACCAGAGGCTGGGAATGCTCAGAGGCTACAAAAACAGCTTGTAAAATCTGTTTGGTATCAAGTACCTTGGTTTGTTTTTAAGTAAACGGTCAATATTTTAAAATTTTGACAAATCATTTTATATAAAAATCTAAAATTCTAGCTTCTCTTGAGAAGTTGAAAAATCTGCCAACACTGAACCCACTGAACCAATTTCCCAAATGGAAGTAATTGACTGGCTCTGAGAACCCACTGTCCCCTTGGACACCACCACCACCGTCCCCGGGTCAGTTCAGTCCACACCTTTCTAGCATCTCTCCGTGGAGTGGCCAATGTTCCTTATCAAAGTGTTTTAGTTGTTGTTTTTCTTATAGTAGGGTTAAAAGAAAGAAAATGATTTATTTCTTGAACCTGTCTTTCTCCAAGAGCAGAAAAGTGTGTTTTCTAAAAGGTGAGGGAAGGCCATATTTCTTTTAGAATGAGCACAATTCCTTCCCATTTAAAGAAGAAAGAAGGCTGAAGCAGGCAGTTCCCAGGAATTTGGTGGCTCCATGATGGCCAGTGCACACTCTCTTCCCTCCTCACGTGTGCGTTCTAAAGACTTGGAGGTAGGAGGTGGCTCCCTCATATGTATTTAGACTTACTGAGGCACGGGAGGATATGGATAAGTACATGCAGATTGCTTCCTGGTGTCTGGCTG